GCAGAATGTTAAATAGTTCTCATTCCATCTGGCCAAACAAAAAGCTACTCCAAGCAAAATACTTTCATTCATGGAGACACAGTGGTAAGCTTTTTATCATGTTGCTTCTTTGCACATGTCACCCATACCCACTTGCTGTGCTCTCATTCCTTCCCTCTAGTCAATAAAGAGGAAGACAGATTCTTTCCCTCTTCTCTGTGCTAGCTGTTAGCTGTGTTCGGATGGGAATGCGTTTTCGTGGTGACTGGAAGCCACTCTAATCCTCTTGGCGACATGCTGGGTTACTGCTGGTTTGTTTGCAGCACAGTTGGCATTTTTCTCGGGCACTGTTGTCATAGCCCTTGCCTTCCCTGAAACCCCTTAGAAGAAAGATGACAGATTCCACCCAGCCACTCGCAAAACTTTAAAAGCAATTCCTTGTCAAATACGTGAAAAACAACTCTTCCTTCTCTCTAACTTGAAGGGGAAAAAAAGAGAAACTGTCTTGCTCCAGATGTCGGTTCCTTGCTAGTGAAACAGGCTGAGCTGGTTCATCCCCATCCCTTTATGTTCCCTTTGCAAAACCCACAGAGAACACATTTGGGGCCACTTTGCAGAATTGGCAAGAGTCTCTGCTTTTTAAGGGAATCATATGGACACAGAATGCCACAATCAATAGACTCGGAATCCCCAGGGCCCAGAAATGGGATTCTTAAAACTCACATTCTAGGTCATCAGTTAGAATATGGCCTGGGCCCAAGAATCATCCCAATTGTTGCCAGGTTTTGCTTACTTGATTAAACTTGATTCAAACAAAACTAGGTTGAGGAGAGTTTGTATTTTCTTGTTGATTAGTGGTTGGGGCAGGAAAACAAAACAATACCAAAAAGAAAGAGAAGAAAGTGAAGAGTCAAAAGAGGAGGAGCTAGGATCTTTACAGCTCTCCTTTGGGGGACAGGTGATGCAGCCAGTCCACTTCCTCATCACTGCAGATCTGAACAGGCCAAACTTTTCATTGGAGTTAGGTGCCTTACTTTGCTGTCTACATGAGAAGTTTTGTGACTATCATCATGGATTTAAAGAGGATCCAAAAGGACTTTGAATGGGGAAGGGAGGGCAAGAGAGGCGAGGAGAGGAGAGTGAAGGGGAGGGGAGAGACAAGAGAAGAGGTGAGGAAAGGAGATTTATTGACAAGCCTGACATTTCAAGGGGATGGGTACCCTAGGATGTAGTGAAATGCACATTGAAGATACTGAAACATCCCTGGTCACCTTACTAGGGATGTTGAGAACTTAAACAATAGACTGGTATTTGTATTAGTTGGGATGGGTGTTTTTAGCAGTAGCAGTGGTGGGTATATGTGTGTGTATGTGTGTATGTATATGTATATGGGGGGATATATATATTCATATTCTTCTCCTTGACCTAAGGGTCTATGCATCAGAAATAATAGCCCGGCCCTTCACCTGTTTCCTTTTAATAACCTTGACTTGAGTCATTCTCAACTATTTGAGCTATCCATCTTGTCTAATTATTTCTACTTTTGTGCAAGAAGACATTGACTTTATTTTTTTTTCACTATTTTTTTGTTATTACTATTTTTTCCCTTAGGTGTCTGAACACACTCAGTTAAGCTGGATCCTCACCTGCATGGTCAGACTGCCCCGGCTGCAGCATTTACACCAGTGGAAGGTAAATGCCAGGACAGGATTATTAATGGAAAGGAAGGCGTCTGTTTGTTTCTGTGCCAGGTTCTAGGAGTCCTGAGTTGACTTGCCACATTGGTCCGCCACTCACTGTAGGCTGGAGCAGCATCACCCGCCTCTCCATGTGGAGAGCAGAAAACAGAAGGGTTCTCCAGGACTCCGACTTCAGACCTATTTGTTTTATCTGTATTTGGATAGATTTGGGAATGGCTTTGAACCTACTACATTATAGTTAACGAACAATCAGAATCTCTAGAATACTGGTCCCTGATTTTGCCTCCAATACCCTGGAACTAACAAGCATCCTGGAAAGAATGTTTTGTCTATGGGGAGAAGAAATAATATTTTTAATATTTAAACAAGTTGAGCCTAGGCAACAGTTCAAGTCCACAGAAGTTCCACTAAGAAGATAAATTAGGTAATTCAGTGCTTCACTGCCGTTTACTTTTGCAATTAGCTAACTTGAATTAGGTAGCCCCAATTATATCAGCACTGATTGTAGTTTCAGCTTCTTTTGAGCATATTTTTCAGGGCTGTTCATTTCCTCAGAAGCCATTCCCTAAACTGCAGAGAGAAGCCCCCCAAAATGTCTGTGCCTGGTCTGGGTACAGGGGTGCCTGTCTTCCAGATTCTTATCTTGAAACCCAACCCCCAGCAGCTGGGACTTTGAGAGGTGGTCAGAGGGAAAAGGGGGGTCCCTCATGAGTGGGATTGTTGTTCTAAAATAAGTCCCTTTACCTCTCTCACAAAGGAAATAAGGACACATACAAAAAAGCACCACTGTCCAGTCTTGGAGGTGGGGTGTGGGCTGTGGCAGAGGCTCTCTCTTTTCTAGCTCTAGTCTTTGTCTTAATCCTGTACTTCCTGGCATCCAGAACTAGGAAAAATGAATGTCTATTCTATTGCTTATAACAAAAATTAGTATCTTGTGAATGTCCAAAGAGCTGGTAAATAAGACACTGATGGGGAGGCTGCAGATAGACCACGTGCCAGGAACTGGAAACAAAGGTTTTATAAGACTCTCTAACATATTTTAATTTTAGGCAAGACTTTGATATTTTAGTACAACATTATACTACTAATTTCTGATTGAATCTAATAATTAAGTGTAAAAAGTTCTCTGAGACAGAATTTTAGTATCCTGCGAAGATAGGCGAAGGGCAATTCCAGTGGGGACAGTGAGCACAGGGGGAGTGGTGTGAAGGGCGGGGACAGTGAGCACAGGGGGAGTGGTGTGAAGGGC